CCCTAACCCTATTCACCTTAGGGTGAATAACTCTGCGCTGCTTGCTCGAAACGTGCTGAAATTTGGTGTGGGTGCGTGGCTGTCCTCTCTACTACTGAGGAGACCATTGGCTCCTAACGCACAAGATGGCTACTTTTGCCTCCTGGATATTTTGCTGTCATTATCAGATAATGAGATGAGTGTGGAGCTTGTCATCCATCTTCATCTACAGTCTGTAGTTCATACAGTACATTTGCTTGCTGTGAACCATAACTGATCATAGAGGAAGATGTCGGGTCAATCAGTTTCAGTCAGGAATAAAATAAAAGCCCTGATTTAGCAGTTTTAAACACTCAGTATTTTACTCCAGATTGATCCACTCACTAAACTGCCACAACACACTGTGTTTATACAGCGAGTTTGTCTGAGACCTGCGGCACGTGCCCTTCCCCTGCTCCCTCCTCCTCCTCCCAGCAGACTCTGCTTGAGATGTCAGTAACATTTGCAGGCTCTATATGGATTGTGGTCCCAAGCTGTGCTCACAAGTCTCCTCTCTTATTACAATGTCATCTCTAGTTTGGAGCGCTGTGACAAAGGCTCCTTTCACAGGCGCTGCGTGTCTCCTGAGTTCGATTAGCTTGGAATTCCACTGTTCCGGATGGGAGGTTCCAGAGGCCTCGAGGCAGATGTGAGACCAGTGACGAAAAAATTTCTCTCCACTCTTGCGCTGCACCAATGACGGAGTCAAGGTGCTTTGCAGAAAAGCAGAGATTAAATTTCCTGGAAAATGACACCGCGTCAACACGCAACGTCCTTGGAATTTTTTTATTTCATCTCGAGGTTCTTGAGATGCATTAAAGGAGAATTGTACTATAGATAAGGAACCAAATCATTCGAAATAAATTATTAGAATTATATGATTAATCTGCTCTGCATTTAATCTCTGTGTGTATTAATTTGAAAAGGGAAGACAGATTACATTGCATTAATATTTCAAGACCCTTCACGTTCTTTAATTATGAGTGTGTAGTTGGTAGATGAGGGTGCTGGGCTTTGTCAGTGACTGGATACAATTCAATTACCATAATAGCATCTACCTTAAACATCATACACCCATTAATCCATAAAATAATTTTATTTCATAATTTTGGTCAAAAAGAGGTGTTTATTTTGTAAAAAAACTCCCACAGTGGAATAAGCAGACACATCCATCTGTATCTTTGTCTCACATCAAATCAAACAATTAACACTTATGTACATGTTCATAAAAAAAAGTATTTTCATTAGACTCTTGTTATAAATGTAAAAGGGTATGTTAATAAATCATTTACTGACTAGTGATTATTCCTAAACCAACATTTAGTTATTATAGCCTCTAGTTGCAACTCAGTAAGTATAAAGACTAATCAGAAAGTTTTGTCAATGTTTTGATGCTTTGTTGTTTGAGTCAGTGAAAACAGATTTTTGTTTAATTTACTTTTTTAGGCAGCAAAGATGAGAGAAGTAATTTAACAGAGAAAAGTCGTATTAAAATTAATATAAAAACACACGCATATAACTACGCAGACCATTACAATAATAGGATTAAGTACACAGTCTCTTATACTGTACTGTACATGGAGGAAAGAGGGATGAAATAACAGTGAATGATCCCCATTTGCCTCATTTATCTTTGCAGGACCTGCTCCAGAAGTCTCTGCAAAACAAGAAAAACAATGGTGTCGATAACCTGCTCCCAAGAAAACTGAACAAAAACAGATCTATCTGCACCCAGACCTCCCATCGCTCAATCTTAAGAGCAGCTCTGCACCACAGGGGAGCGACAGCCGCTGCTAAATTGGCTTTCACTTTCATCAGCCTCGCTCCTGAGGTAGTGAAGCCCAGTTAGAGGGGAAATAATTCTGCCTCGCTATCTGACCAAACACCCTGCTATGCAATCACCCTCCTCTTACAGTACAGCTGGAATCTCATTTCAGCCAGCGTTCAAAACCACCACTGGGCACTATCAGACCCTATATGAATCTTTTCTGTGTGTATGTGTTGGAGACTTTCTGAAAAAATGAGACCTCTAAAGCCCTCACAAGTCGGTGTTTATCAGGGAGCAGCCCCCTCCCTTTCCCTCCCAATCTCACTGCGGTTGAGCCTGGCTAATAGCTTCGTCTGAGAGGTGTCAGGGTCACACTGGCATCTTAACAGTCGTGCCTGCTCTGTTTACCCAAGAAATAAAATATTCTCTCGCACTGACGTAAACCTTAGGGTGCAAGGTTCCTGTCAGTGAAGCACACAATGTTAATTTACTGTAGATTCAGTGTTTCCTTGTGAATTAAGATAGTTGGAGGAATAGAAGATGATTTATCATGAAGTCACAGTTTATCCAAACACTGGAAAATGAGCAAGAGGCCAGTCATCTTTAGAATATCCTGGTCTCACACACACACACACACA